CAAGCAACTTGGCAGCGTAGTCCTGCGGAGCCTCGCACTGCAGTAGCAGCAATATGATCGCAGGTGCATCCAGGCCAGCCGCGAAGGCCCCAAGGCTTTGCCTTGGAAGGAGCCTTTGCTCTTGAAGCCGTCGAGACAGACAAGCCTGACATCTTGAAGTCTTGACAGGACATGGGAGTTAAGTACGTCATCGAGTCCACTGGCCTCTTCGTGGAGTACGAGTGGCTCGTCGACACCCTTTCGGTTCGCGGAGTTGTGACGTGCGCTGCGTTTGCGTGGGTTCTGCCTTCAGTTTCCCTTCCCAGCAGTGCTGGCGGCTGCTACTTGTAGCCTTTTCGCTCTGAGGAAGGCCGTCGGCCACATCGAGGCGGGTGCAGAGAAGGTGATCATCTCGGCCCCGGGCAAGGGCAACCTGAGCCTTGGACAGCTTGGGTTTAGATCCTCCCAGCTCTCGCCACAACTTTAGCCTCCTAGTGAGTTTCTTTCCGTGACGGGAGGTTCCCATTTCTGTCTGTTGGGGTTCTCAGCTTCGGGGCTTTTGGGCTTCAGGGTCCCATGTGTCTGACTTGCGAGGGGCTTCCGTTGGCAGGAGCATCGGGAGGAAATGTAACTACAATACAGTACATTTAACTTTATGATCGTATAGTACAGACATAACATAATGGTATATTGCAGCATATCATTTTGTGTTACAACTAATTTAGCTTCATACACTATGGGATATCAGTGTATGTCTCATCTTGCTCAACTGCGTCCTATCCGTGATGAGCTGCCTTCTTCTGAAGGTACGAAACGTGAGCTACTGCTACTATTTGTTCCAGGCCTGCTGTCTCATTGAGGGTTTCGCATGAGCTCATGCCTCAGCTTCGTGGATCCCATCAGTTCCTTGATCCATGTCTTTTGCATGTCTTGCATGCTGTGGCCTTTGCTCTTGGTGTGGGCTTACCTTCGCTGCAGACGGCCATCCCTGAGTACTTGGTGCCGACATGTGCGCTTCCGCAAATTCGTGCACTGTAGGCGCATTTGCGATCGTGCATTTTCCTTGTTCCTTCTGAACAGTCCTTCGCCTCTGCCTTTGGGTCCTTCCCTGTTCCGATTGCACTCCCCTGTCATCCTTGCCTGAGGTTTCAGCGCCGTTCTTCCGTGAACAGCTTCGGTCAGGCCCGTGCACGCCGCCGCCGGCGTTGCTGCATTGTGCATTGCATTCCCTCTCCCTGCCCTTCCGGTTTTGGGGTCCTCGGCCCCCTAGGCGGTGTGGTTTCTCTCCGGGTCGGCCTTGTGTGGCTGCAAGGCGCTCCCTCCGTGAGCGAGGCGTGCACTGCATACCCCGTCCATCCGACTCCTGTCCGCACTACTGCATTTCTCTGCATGGTCGCCCGTCGCCCTCTCTGCGTGTTGCGGTTGCTCTGCCCTCCAGGCGCGCCGGAAGAGCCAGAACTTGTGCTGCTACCCGTCCTGGCTTCGCCCCTGTGCTCGGCGTCCTCGAGGAAAACCCAGGCCGACCCTCCCCGTGCGTGGACCGGTGTCTACTCTGTGGGAACAGCTGTTCCTTTTGTTCACTGCGGCCTCTTCTGCCAAGCGGCCTCCTTCGGACGAGGAGGTACGCGGTATGCGCTGTTGCTGAACTTAAGGCCTCGCTCGCGCCTGTCCTTGGCTCGTCCAAGACTTGGCTGACTTGTTAGCCTTCTGCCTTGCCAGCCCCTCGGAAGCCTCGTGTGGCCCTTGTCGTGACAGGTTCTTCTCCTGGAAGGAGGTCGGCATTCCTAAACGCTGTGAAGCGGCTGTGCGTCCAATCGCTATATAGCTCCATCGTCCGTGCCTGGAGCACCTTGTCGGCTTTGCCTCAAACTGCTGGAAACAGTAGCAACACCACTGTCAGTCACCAGCCGGTGCCCAGTTCTTGTGCCAGGTCAGATGTCGACACGACATCCCTGCTTGACCTCAACAAAACCCTAAACCCGAGCCCCGTGTCAACAGGTTCACACACCTTGTGCGCCGTACCCTAGCCCTAGCTCTTTCGGCCCTCTTGCCCCTTAGCCCCCAGCGCCAAAGCGAGGCCCCCGTGACAGATGGCCTTGCCCTTTTTGCCGTCAGAAGAAGGCGTCCCACCTGAAAGCCTGGCACCCCGAGGAGGACTTTGCGAGCACCAGTCTCAACAAGAAGGCACTGCCTCTTCTCAACGTTGCTGAGCTTGCGCCAGAAGAGAGGCACTGGAAGTGCCCACTGTGTGACCTCGGCTTCTCGCGTGAGCAGGCCGCCACTCACCCATACACGCGCCGCGCTCACGGAGGTTCAAGGTTTGATCAACCAGTTGACTCCTGACAACTTTGATCACAGCGGTGAGGCCGCCGGCCGCACACTTTTGGCGAGCTCAAGTGGCCCAAGTGGCTGGCGAAAGCCAGAAAGACGAATGCTTACTGCACCGTCTGCAAGCGTGTTGCCAGCACGTACAAGACCATTGCTGATGAGCCGTGTGACAAAGCCGTCCTCAACAGCAAAGGCCAACACAGGTTTTTCACTCTTGTCCGTAAGAAGGCAGGGAAGTGCCCGCTCAGACAGACAGGCGAAGGCTCTGGCAAAGCAGTTGCAGCCATGAGCGCTGCAGCTTCGGCACTACAAACACAGGTCGGGTTAGCGTGTCAGCTTTCGCAGGTCATTGGCTTCGCCAACCAGCATGCCCTTGATCTGCTCTGTCTGCAAGAGACTCACCTTTCTGCTGACAGTGCTCCTTCTGCTGTTGCGGCTGCCCGCAAGGCGGGATGGCAGCTGTTAGTTGGCAGTCCGTCTCTTGACTCTACGGGCCGTGGCACCGCTGGTGTTGCGGTTGTCACGCAGTGGCCGGTCGCGTTTGGCCTCAAAAGTGATGGCGACCAGGCTGGCAGGTGGATGACGGTCATGGTCCACGGACCGCGCTTCAGGCCTTTTGAGATCGTCAATTTCTACTTCCCTGCTTCTGACAAGGGCCAGGCTCAAGCTATGGCCGACCAACTTGTGCAGGCGGCTGCCGCCCGGCGGGGCGCAGCGCGGTTTGTCGTTGGTGACTGGAACCTAGCGCCTTGGGAAGAGCCATGATGAGCCGGTGCAGACTACTCACAGGTGTGGTGCCTTGCGCCTTGCTGACGACCTCTTAGGCCCCGACCTGGTTAACACTAACACCACCGCGCTTTGTGCTCTGCTGAGCTAGCCCCGATCACTATAGGACAGGTTATTACAGGCATCTCCGATCATGACCTTGTTTGGTATGATCTCGAGCTTAGTGCCCCTCTTGAGCCTACACTTCACGTGGCCCCTAAACGTAGGTTGCAGGTTGCAGGCTACCCAGCCGGTTTCTCTGAGACGTGGGAAGGCCTGTTTCCGGCCGCGACTTTCGCAAATCTCTTGAGCGACAAGGACGTCGAACCGAACTCACTTGGAACTTCTTAAGGTCTGCTGCAGAGTCAGCTCTGCAGCCCAAACAGGGCCTAGCTCGACACTGGGTTGGCCAACCTGTCCAAAAAGGCCAGCCGTCGGAGAAAGCTGAGGTTGTTCAGAGCGTTCGTGCTGCACAGACGCCTCGAGGAGAACCTCAGGCAACCTAGCCAGGCCTTGTCAACTAAGATTTGGCGCACGTGGCAGGTAGTCAGGGATTGGTATACCCTGAGCTCTCTGGTTTGTCTTTTACTGAGCACAGTGACCTCGCTCTTGTTGCTGCTTGCATCGAGAAGGAGCGGGCGGCCGCCCAGCAAAGCCGAATCCAACTGTGGAAGCAGCGCATGGACAACAGTGAAGCTGCTGCCATGGACTGGGTCAAGCGTGACTTAGTTGAGGAGCGTTTGAGGTGGGCAAGCCGATCCACCCTCAGCTCAAGGTGTCGCATGTGCAGGCCAAGTGGCGGGAGGCTTGGAAGTAGCCTCGTAAATCTGCCGTCGCCGAAGTTGTGTGCCGTTTCTACACCTGGCAGACACTGTTAGGGCTGTGTCTTGCTCTCCGACCGCGCTGCGCCGTGTCGTTGAGCGCGGTCGTCACAAGGCTGCGGGACCGGACGGTTGGAAGCCGGCTCACTGGGCGTTCCTCCCTGACGGGTTCTTCGCTAATGCGCTCAATGACCGGGCCTCTGTCTTCGGTGTGAAACTCGACGTGTCTAAATGTTTTGATAGTGTCGTGCCCGAGCAGGCTCTGCACATTTGGCAGTGTCAAGGGGCGCCTCCTGTTGCAATGCGACTCCTCAGTGCTTTTTACAGTGACTCGAGCATGCGGTTGGAGTACCATGGGGCGGTCGCTGCCGAAGCTTTCTCGTGCAAACGCGGCCTTCTGCAAGGATGCCCCGCCTTCTGTGGGCTCTTGGCGGGCATCTTGGCCCCTTGGCGTGGCTACGTCTGCCACAAGGCGCCGAGCATACGTTGCTCCGTGTACGTCGACGACCGTACGGGTTGGACGGACACTTCCTGTGAAACGGTGGCTTCGGCTCCCAAGTGTGAAGCGTTTGCTACGGGGGTTGCTAAGCAGAGGGCTCTGAAACGAACCTTACAGGGGCTGCAGCACGACTGGCCGGTGTCTGGGCAGTTCAAGCTGCTTGGGTCGCTTACAACCGCACACGCTGTAGGCGAACGCCGATCAACGAAAAAGCTGCTGCTGAGGTCCTCAGGAGGCTCACTCGTGTCAGATTGCTTTCTCTTGATTGGCATAGTAAGAAGCGTCGCATCTTCGGGCGGCAGTGTTGCCACTCTTCAGCTATGTTGGTGCTTGGCACACGGTCTCTAAAAGACCGTACTTGGCAGGTGGAGACGGCAGATCGAGCTCTCGGTCATGAAGCCGGTCAAAGGCCGCTCCAGGTTCCTGTTGTGGGCCGGCCTCCTCGGCGCTGAACTTGACCCCGAGTTTATGCTTGACTTCCAAGTTGTGCAACATGAGCTTTGGCCCAAAGCGGCTTAGGAACGGAGTCCCTGCGCCCCCGCAGCTGGCACCTCCAGCTCGCTGCAGGCGTCCTAACCGACGGCAGCCTGCACGGCCCGTTCTTAGGCCTAGGGTGTTTGAGCCTGAGGTTCTTAATAAATGGGGTTGGAAACGACGCAGTGCCTCTTGTTTTGAGACTTCGCACGGCCTCCTTGACTTGGCATGGGATGGTATTGCCACCATCAAACATGCGGCTCGCGCCGGCTGGGAGAGAAAACCCTCTGGCAGTTCGAACCTCGCACAAGCGACGACAACAACAAGCAAACGTACGACAGTCACCACCCGTGTTTTACTGAGCACAAAACATGGTTGCGCACGCCGTGCGCCGCGCACGCGCACTCCATGCGTACGGCCCTGGCACATCCGAGGTGGCGCCACTGACACCGAAATCAGTTGTGTTTGCCGGGGGGAGGTTGCGCCCTCCAAACAACACCTCACCTGGCGCTGCCTGCAGCAGCAACACGCTTCTGTGCTTCGTTACCATGAGGACGACGGTGAGCTGCACCTCCTCATCCCTTGTGTCGAGCACCCTTC